TAAAAATTTAGTAAAGAGTATGTTACAAGTCACATTCAGGACAGGCCCTGAGAGATTTCACCTGCTCCTTACACAGTTTTTAGCACCAGGAACTCTGACTTTCTGGCACAATTAAAGAATCCTCTTTATATTATACGACAGTAGCTAAATCTGAAGAAAGAAGGAGCCCCACGCTGATTGTGTGAACAGAACTCTCCTCACGATCATCCCACTGCAGCCAGCAGGTGCCTCTGGCAGCCGGATGTCCAGGAGGCTCATCACCACCGCTGGCCAGAGCAGTCTTCCAAATCTGTGTGCGCTTGCCAACACTCCAACAGAAATGATCAAAAATAACGTTTACATTGCGACTCCCACATACACCAAAAAAAAAGGGGGTGCCAAAAAATCCTGTAGAAACATGTAAGAACACCGATTCCCATGTCACTTGGCCTTCCCTCTATTTCAGAGTCATCCCACATGGGGGATTATTTTCTAATGTTCATTTTACAAATTACCTAACTAACAATATGCTGTCCAACCTTCCATTTAGTGTGCCCTTATCATCTCCCTACACAAGGCGATTTCCTCGAAGGAAAATTGAGTATTTCGGCAGCTAAACTAGTGGAAAGCAAAGAATTAAGATCATAGATACAAAGGTGCTGTAATTGTGTTTTAATCAGCTTATTAAATACAACATGAACATGTATCAATCAACTAACATTTAATTTCATGCTCCATGATTCAAAACTTTTCAAAAGCAAAGCAGGACAAAGTTATCGGCATGAACTCAAACAATTCTCTTCCAATTTTGTTTTCACTCATGTAAACCATTTAAATGCTGTATGACAATTGTTACATGTACTTACAGACTAGAAGAAGACATAATTAGCAATGTTATGAAGATAGACACGTATTTAGAAATTTACCTTTCCTTGAGAAAAATTACCATCTCAGTCTAAAAAAAAAGAAAGAAAAACCTCTGCATAAAAATATAGCAATATATGACTTTTTTTAAGTTAGGGGACTGAAGATGGTAATCGTTTAAAAATTGTCAGGATCGTGGCTTAAGGGATTAAGCCAACTTCTGCAGGGCAGGAATCCCATATGCTCCAGTTTGTCCACTTCCAATCTAAGTCTCTGCTAACGTGCCTGGGAAAGCAACAAAGGATGACCCATAGTGCCTGGGCCCTTGCACCCATGTGAGAGGCCCAGATCTTAGCTCCTGGTTTCAGCCTGGCCCAGCCATAGCCACTGTGGCCATTTGGGGAATGAACCAACAGATGAAAGATCTCTTTGTCTCTCGCTCTCTCTTCGTAACTGTACTTTTTCAAATAAATAAATCTGTAAAAAGAATTTCTATATGCAATGGACAAAGTTTCACTGATGAAAGAAAACTAGGAGCTAGAGTTCATTCTAAAGTGTTGCTGCAGAAAATGCCATTGCATTTCTACGATTCTTGTCTAGGAAGCAAGCCAACTGCCTAAGCGCACCTGCCACAAGGAGCTCACACTGGGTGGCCTGGTGACCTGGAAGGCAAGTACACAGCTTTTCCTCTTCGCCCCACATTCAAAGAGTGGTTTTGCAGGACCTCAGGGAGGCTGTTTTTCACATAAAAATTTCCTTTATGGTATTCCACTTGCATGAGGGACAAGGAAAAAATCACCATAAATCACTGTGAACGCTCGGTGAGTTCTCTCCTCTAGCATTTTGCTTGATAGTAAGAATTGCATTAATTTGAAAGGATCTATTTCTGACCATTTTCTTCCCTCAAGTGGAGAACGGCCTGAGGGTTAAGGGTCATTAACAACTTTTACTGAGACAAAAGATTCCACTGTGGTTGCTAGGAGACCCAACAGGCTGACTCCTGTATTGCTGTCTAGAACAGTTGTTGAGTCTTCCTGCAGAACCACCCACTAACTACAGCAGGAACTACAAGCCGAACACAGAAAACTGTAAAGGCAGGGCCAAACCCTGTCCTCAAAGGACTTCAGATTCCTGGGTTTTTTGCTGGTTTGTTTTACTTTTTTAGATTTATTTATTTAACCTGAGAGTCAGAATTGCTGTGAGAGGGATGAACAGAGAGAACTTCCATCTGCTGGTTCACACTCCAAATGGCCACTACAGCATGATGGGGGAATGGTTCAAAGCCAAGAACTGGAAGCTTCCTCTGGGTCTCCATTGTGGGCACAGAGCACCAGACACTTCAGTGATCTTCCACTGCTTTCCCAGACCACGAGTAGCGAGCCAGATCACAGATTTCTGCTGTTAGCATAAGATCATAGAGCCCCTGCTGAATAAGCTTGTTGGTTTTTGTTCTGAAGGTGCATACAGCAGCAGTCACCTGGATAGATGTTTAAAATAAATAAATAAATAGACCATGGGCCAAGGAGCAAGCGTGGTCCATCAGTCACTCCTGGTTCATTCTTCTGTATGTCTGAACCACAGTGAGCATTCCAGACACACGGTTCGCCAGACAAAGCTCCAGCCCTTACAAAGCGATCAGGCCAAGGCCGGCTGCCGAAAAGATTGCCAAGAGTTGGAGTTCCAAAGGAGACACGAGGAAGCAGGCACTTAACCTGACACGGAAGGCATCCGTATCCCACATCCCAGGACTCGGCCTAGACATCCAGCTCGGAGTCTGGGCTCTCACCAATGCAGATCCCAGCAGACAGCAGACCATCCCCCTGGGCTTCTGCCTTCCATGTGCGAGTCTCGGGGCTCAGCTTTGGCCTGCCCCGGCCCCAACACTTACAGACATTTGGGGTTGAACTAGCAGATGAAGAAGAGCTCACTGACATATCCCTTCTCTCGCCCCCTCACCTTGACTCGAGCGTGCATATACAGGCCTCTCAAACACATGAATAAATAGGAGACACGTGTTCTCTGCCACGTGCCATCACTCTAGCGGAAGCCACAGGGAAACTGAGAAGCTTTCTGATGTCCGTTCCCATCTGTGTAACTCTAGCAACAGGCAGGCACCTCCTCCCTGGGCACAGTGGCACTGGCCTTCAAGAGTGACTGCCAGCCCTGTCCAGCACTTGGCACCCTGCCTGGTCAACCACAGGTTTGACTGTTACACTAAAGGGCCCATTTGTTATAGAATATCAAGAAATGAGATGGGTGGAAATTAAGGATGACAGAATCGGGGAGAATATAATACAGACCTTACAAAAACCAAAGAGAGAGCTGACTTTCCTTTGAGGAGGTCCTGCAAGTCACACTGAAGTGTATTTATAAACCTACATGGAAGATTATACAACGGAATCCCATCACACGCCCAATTAAGTGAGGAGAATTAACTGCACGTGATTGGCAGAGAGGAGGACGGACAAGTTCAAAACTACAGGTGGTTTTTCCGCTGTGTCACTTGCTAACTGAACATTCCAAAGTAAATATGAGATTTATTTTTTTTAAGGTGCAGTGCCATGGACAATCTCAGGTCAAAGGTGGGAAGTGTGTGCCCTCCCCGTAAGTACGGCCCAGGTAACAAGGCTAGGTTTTTTTTTTTTCTTTTCCCAAAATTAGACCCTAAATGTATATATTCTCATTAACCTGATGCTCCAAGCAGTCAACAATGAAAGGAATTGGTTTTAGATGAGTTTCATCACCTTGTACCTGTCGTATTTACACACAGCTGCATCTGGGTGACCACGCTGCCCAGTGGCGGGAGCACAGGCAATGGGGCCATTCTCCCCAGTCCCTGGTCCCCCTGGCCCGACGGCTCTTCGTCGTGCCCAACCGTCTCAGTTTGGATTGTAAAAGGCCCCAGCAATGTCTGACTAAAGCGGAAAATGGCCCATACCACAGCTGAGTACAACGCAGACCAACAGCGACTCGCTGGAAACTGAAAGGCTTACAGCCACAGACAGGGAAACCCAAGTCGGAAGCAACTGTTCCTCCCATGCTTCTGGAACAATTCTGCTTGCATGCATTTTCCATCTCTGCGGATGGCTCCCAGGAAGGTCAGCATTTCCTTACCTAAATTATTCCCAGGCAAGCTCTCACATGCGCAAGGAACACACACAGACTTTGCTGCATAACATGTTCAGACTATGAGGAAAAGATCCATCGTCTCAGTAACAGCGAAAGAAAGGGCTTCTATGCTGGTGGTTAGAGTACACCCAGACGATAAAAGGCTCTTAAGGTTAAGAACACCGCCGGTCATGGAGCCAGATGAGGAACGGTCCTCCAACAGGAACAACAAAATGCACACACTGAGAAAAGGTACAGACACATACTGAAGGCCTTTCAAAGCAGTCTCCGGTGATGCATTGCAAAAAGAATGCTGCAGCGAATCCTACACCTGCACTTTTGTGCCTGCCTCACAGGAACACACACGAAAATGTCTCCTTATACAGGCAGCCATTTTCCATTATGTCCCTAGTTAAAAACAAACAAAAACATTCTCTGGGTCACAAAACTAAGTAAATCAGTGAATAGATACAAGCCATACAGAATAGCAAAGAACAACAATAATTACAGCTATTTCTGTATCTTTACTTTTTTGCTCTGTAGACACTATTGTCCCAATTCTGCTGGAGGGCGGGGGGGGGGAGACTTAGTAATTAAGGAAGTTAATTAAGGGGAATCAAATAGCTTGCCTCAAATCGTGTAACTCCGGAGACGCGAGGCGGGACACACCTGCGTTTGCCTGATGCCAAGGCTGTTACAGCACCTGACACGGCTTCTGCACGGGAACGATTCGGTTTCCCACGATCAGCCTGCCTTTCTCCAAGCAGACGAGTTTATGGGCAAGAGGTAATTCTCCTAAATACTACTTTTCAAAGAGTGACTAAGAGGAGCGTTCAGGACCTTCAAGGAGTAGGACAGTCTGTCTCCAAACCTGTCTTGATCACTACGCATCTTAGGACACAACTACCCTTCCCTGGCACACGACATGATGAGCTGAGAACACGGCAAGGACAATTAAGTCAGAGGCACAAGGCTTGAAAATCCGAGAAAATGGACCTCTCCGAGCTTCTTGCTTCTGGCCTCCAGCTGTCACGGAGAACGGGGCTTACCTGCGTCATTGTGAGAATGAGGCACCACAAAGACCTGCAGGGGCTCGGCATCCCACTCGTCATTCTGATAGGTAATATCAAACCCTTGCTTCCAAACTCCACCGTCCGGATTGTCGAAAGGAACGAGGCTGTACACATCCAGCATCTAAACACAAGAGAATCAGGGAGCCACTGTTACCGATTCATCCTTCTGCTAGTCTCCACATCGGCTTTGAAGAACACAATATGGCTGGCGACACAAATGGGAAAATTGGAAGCAGAAAACATGCAACTCCCTTTCCAAGGTTTAAAATGCTGCTTCTGCTGCCAGGAAACCCCTGATGAAAACCCCCTTCAGTTCCTTCTTCCCTGAACTGGAAAGATATTTATAGGACTACAACAATGAACAAAAAATATCTGATGGACCTTGATGATCAAATAGTTTAGCATTTTTGAATGTTTTACATTTGAACTGTCTTCATTTTCTAATTAGTCCTATCTACTTCCAAAATCTATTCCTGAATGAAAATGTATCTGTAACTCTTCTACCGGCCATGTATTACGTTTACTAATTTTATTCTTAAAATAAAACGCAACAGGGCCAACTTGGCATAATCATTCAAAATACAAAATATTCTTAACATTGAGATGTAGCTTTGAAGTATCCAAATGTTTCCTATTCTTCCAATGCAATATTCCATGTAGTCATAATCTGGACGAAAAAAAAACACTCAGATTTTACGTTTAGCCTTCATATTCTTAATAATACCTAATGTGACAAGGAACACAATTTCTTATACAACTGTTAAGATTAATCCAGGATGCAAAAACTACATCTTAATATATATATGAGTTTCAAAACAGTTTAAAAATAGCAACCTATAGAAAACCGGTTGTTTATACAGGATTCCAAGGCAATGACGTCTCTCTTCCTATGGTATCTGTGATGTTCCTCCCAAGAATTATCCCAGAAATCCCCAGGGATCAGCTGGACAGTGATAAGCAGCTCTATGCTACTCCCCCTGGATCTTTCCTTGGCATTTTCCCTGTCCTCGTTGTCTCTCTCATCCTGCCTTTTGTGACTGCTATGTCATTCTGCCTGTCCAGCGTAGAATCACAACCACAGTATCTTCCCATTCTCTTAGCATTGAAGACAGCATTTTAAAATATTTAGGTAGCATTTAACAGAGCCCTAACAACAACAACAAAACCAACATTCAGTGTATCCAAGCCAAACACAGGAGTCTGATCCTATCTGACCTTAATCACATACTGGCTCAGAAGGTTGCAGGTGTGCAGCCTGGCTAGTTCCAGTAACCCCAGCTTCCACCTTGGCATGTGAGCCATGACCCTGGGACTCTATCATCTCCTCTGAATGGAAAAGGCCTACTCCAAAGCCATACCAGGAGTTATAAGCTTTATTCAACAGTCACCGGCTTAAGGTCTTCTCATTAAGTTCTAATGTCTGCTCTCAGCCAGAGGGTAAACACAGCTTCCTTTTCGTTTGTATAGTAGAGTCAAGAACAACACACCCTGAGTTTAAAAAAGGAAGAAGTCCTTTCTGATCCTTTTTCAACTCCATGATCTTCTACAAGGATGTCCAAGAGAAATATAAGCCAAATAAGCAATTTTTAAATTTCTAGTGCTGAAACAGAGGTGAAATGTATTTTAATGACACACTTCAAATTATATCCTCCATATTTAATGGATGCAGAAATAAAGATCTTTTTCTATGTTAAGTTGAACAGATTTTGTGTTTTTCATTACTATACATGGAGCCCATCTCAAGTCAAATCAGCCACACTTGCGGGCCCAGAAGTCAACATGTGACAATGGCTCCCACACTGGGGAGCACAGCTCTAGAATGCCCTTTTCCCTTCCCCTTCGCAAAAACATATTCAGCAAAAATACCTAGCCCTATATGATATGAAGTCTATAATACACAGCAGATACGTAGTAAAGACCAGGGATTTTCCTGGATTCTCCAAAGACAACAAGAAAATCTCTTTGGTACAACTTAAACCTCTAAAGATTTCGTCATTATAGACAATAAGACCCAAAAGGCATACAGAACCATCCTATTCACACAAGTATAAAACAGCAAGGAAAACAATGAATTGTGCAATTTTACCACTAAAAGAAATTAAATCAATGAGCATCTGACACTCAGATCACTTTACAAAGGGAGAAGAATTAAAGCCATTTACCAAGCAAGAATAGACACCCACCAAACCTGTATCACCCTTCGTATACATCACCTGCACATCTGGATGCTGCCTTCCGCTCCGGGAAGCAAAGAGACAGTCTGCAGGGTGGGACTGAAGGGGTAGCTGTGGAGGCAGAAGATGAGGGCCAGCACCCTGGCTGAAATTGCCTTGCGAACTTTTCGAACCATCATCCACGGACTCACTCAGATTGATGACCGAGTCTCTAATGTTGGAGATGATCTCATTATTTTCAGCTAGCAACCGCTCCAAATGGTCTATTTTTTCTTGCAACATGGAGAGCTGACCCTATAACAGAAAAGAAAAAGGTGTCCACGTGAGAGACACTAATGTAGTCAAGAGGGTAGCCACTCACCCATCACTCTTCACCATTATGACCAGGACGGAGGAAAGCATGAGGAGCCGGACGGCTTCAAACTCCAATTTTCAGCAGAAGTCTTCCCCCATAGCTGCAATCTTGATGTAGTCAGTGGGCCACAGAAGAATTCAAAATGATCCCCAATCAGTTTCCCATTTCCCCCCAATCCAACCCCAAGACATCTTTAGGTCTCTGGCATCGCCAAGTACAACTGCTTGTTTTTTCTGGATAGCACATTATTCTAATGTAACTGATTCAAGTTACTCTTAAGGATCAGAAAATATGACACTGAAAAGGATCGTTCATTTGCAATATATTAATATAACTGGACAATTCCTAAACAAGAACTACTATAGAAAACCAATTCCTCAGCTCCTACCTGGACTACAGCATGAACACCGTGAGTCATTCTGACTGCTACACTGCGCAGCTGTTTCGTTTTCTCAGCTAATTCCCACACGAAGAGACTTGCCGTCTCAAGACAGGCATTTGGCATGGACATAAAGATGTCAGTTGGGAGGCCCACATCTCATATTAGAGTGCCCAAGTTGAAGTCCTGGCTCCATTTCCAACTCAGCCTTCCGGTGACTGTGCGCCTTGGGGGGCCGCAGTGGATGACTCAAGCAGGTGCACCCCACCACTCACACAGCAGACTCAGACTGCATTCCTGCTTGTGGCTTTGGCTCGACTCAGCCAACTCTACCGCAGACCTCTCTCTCTCTCTCTCTCCCTCTCTTCCTCCCTCTCCCGCCGTCTCTCTCCTCACTCTTTTCTCCCCTCACTCTCTCCCTCCTTTCTTCCACCTTTCTCCAAGTGTGAATGCCCACCATTCAAATAAGTGATTTGCTTAAATCAGAGTCTTGTTAGACACAATGACACTCCAGCTGAAGAAAAAGGCACCCCCCTTATCTTCCCACCATCCCCCTTCCTAGTTCCGGCACCAAGGAGACAATGCTATATCTGTCATACTTCTGAAACTCAGTGATAATTTCTGAGTGAACACCCACTGTGTCTGGCATAATGTTACATGCTGGGAAGACAGATGTGCATAAAATATGGGTCCCTGTCTTGGAAGACACAGGGTGATGTCATAACTGGCAATCGCCTACTCCCGTTTCCTAAAAATTCACATTAAAAAAAATTTTTTAAATTACATGTATGCTGAACAAATAACTCCAGATATCCATCACCAGGAAGTAACAGGATGGTGAAAGAAGTTAGAAAACAGCTGAATATTCAAAAGTGGGTGACTGGCAAATGACAGGCCTATATCAGGGGATGGTTTTCAGCTAATGAACTTACAGCCATATAAATTTCTTTCAGAAGAGAAATAAAGGGTTAGCATTGTGCCATAGTGCTTTAAGGTGCGCTGTGGGTGTTCATCCCTCAGAGTCGAATCCCTGACTTGGAAGCTCCCTGTGAAACAGGAAATAGTCACAATCTGAACACAAATATAAATATTCATAGCAGTTTTTAGCTGTGTTCATATATGGCTTTCCATGTTCTTTTCCATAAGTGTATCATGTCATGCACACCCTTTTTTTATTTTTGAGGGTACAAATTTTTAGTATGTAACCTGCAAGGCTGACAGCTCACATAGGCACCAGTTTGAGTTCCAGCTACTGTGCTTCCAAAATCCCCCTCCTGATTGCCTGTGTAAAGTCATAGAGAATGGCCCACGTACCTGGACCCCTGCACCCACATGGTAGACATAACCAAGCTCCTGGCTCCCTGCTTCAGCTGGCCCAGCTCTTGCTGCTATAGCCATTTGGAACAGCAAACCAACAGATGAAATAGATCTTTCTCTTCAAAATATAAACAGAAAAAATACAAACACATACACATATACTTAAGAAATGAAAAGTAGAGGAAGAGTTTAAAAAAATAGGATATTCTCACAGATGAATAGTATAATGGAGACGAGCATAGCAGGAAGTGAAGATACACTGCAGAATGCATCTCTACTCCTGAATGAAAGAAGGCCTCCCAGTAGGAAGGCCTCCTTGACAACAGGAAACTAGATCTGCTACCATTGCATATACCTACAATGCCACAATACAGTTAAATAGCAGAATATTGACTTGTGACTGTTGCTGAAGGAGTATACTATCGTAACAATATGGGAGGAAACAAGTGGTGGGCAGAAAGCAGGGAGGGAAGAAACAGGGTTGGAGGGAAGTTACATACCTACAAGCCTGTACCCTCAAAAATTTTAAAAAAAGGGTGTGCATGACATGACGCACTTACGGAAAAGAACATGGAAAGCCATATATGAACACGGCTAAAAACTGCTATGAATATTTATATTTGTGTTCAGATTGTGACTATTTCCTGTTTCACAGGGAGCTTCCAAGTCAGGGATTCGACTCCAAGGGATGAACACCCACAGCGCCCTGGTGTTGGAGAGAGGCAAGAAGCTCAAGGCCCATGCACACCTGCAAGATGCCATCACAGGGCCTCCCTTCAAAGAAGTATGTGACAGAGGCCCACACAATAGCTCAACTGGCCAATCCTCTACCTGAAACACCAGCATTCCACAGGGGCACCAGTTTGTGTCCCGGCTGCCCCACTTCACAGCCAGCTCCCTGCTTGTGGCCTGGAAAAGCAGAACATGTCCCAAAGCCTTGGAATCCAGCACCCATGTGGCACACCCACCCAGAAGAACTCCAGGCTTCTTATAAGCTCGGCTCCAGAGGTTGTGGTCATTTGGGGAGTGAATCAACAGATAGAAGAGCTTTCTGTCTCTCTCTTTCTTTGTAAATCTGCCTTTCCAACAAAAAAAATAGTAAATAAACACACCTTGCACAAAAAGAAAAAAAAAAAAGCAGCAGCACATGACAGTAGCAGGTGACAGTAGCATCCTTCCTGGGGCCGAGAGGGCGGGTGCCAGAAGCGGGAATGCTGTCACAGCAGGGGGACCCTGCAGCCTGTTCTTCAGCACAGAGGCAGGAAGCAAAAGTCCCCTTCCCCTCGGTGAAAAGCAAGAGAGAGAATAAGCATCGGTTCAATTGAGAATAAGCATCATCAGTTGAGACAGAAAAGCAACAGGAACTGGAAACACTAGCTGGAAACAACGGGATGAGACCAGATGAACGGCGTAGATCTGCATCAACGCGCTGCCCACACTGTATCAGACACAAACTCCTCTTCCCTTCTTTGTCAGCACACAAGGACCTCGCTCAGAAGTGGCTGCCCACAGAGAGCTAAGAGAGTCAACTGGCAAAACCGAAAGTTCAAACTAAGGCAGCCAAGTGCACAGCTGACCAATCTGTATCTATTTCCCCAAACAGCTTGGTCCAAGGAGGAATGTCCCTTCTCTCATTCTCAGGCTGTGCTGCTTGAAACCACTGCAGATAGATTCTGTCGAGTACTTCCAACACTGAGGAAAGAAACTTACTTGCGTGATGCTGCCGATGCAACAGGTGTGAGTAAACCAAGCTTTTCTTATTCTTACTGCAGCAACATTGACTGGTCTTGTTGAAGTCAAGCCATGCATGTTGGCAGAACACAACCTCAGCTTGACCTGGAATGCTGTCATCCCAGAACTCGGAAAAATGTCACAGGTTTCATCACTGTCACCGGATTGCACTGTTAGAGTTTTTAATACACGGGTGTCTACATTTCTCCAGCTCTTTCTCAACTTTGGGGAAAGGGTTACATGGCAGCTGCATACACGGCAAAGTCACCTGCGGTTCTAAGAACATGCAGCAAGCAAGAAGAAAGAAAATGAGCTCCAAATTCATGACCGTGGTCTTGATCCCACCGCCACCTGTGCATGAGAATATTACTCAAGATAAACATTTTGGGAAATCTTTCATAAAAAGGGATCATACAGGCACTGCAGATGACTCTCCATCTCACCGAGGCTTTACTGCCACAATTAACGAGTGGTGGCTCAAAGTCTGAGCTAAGTAAGTACCTGCAGAAAATTGTGGCCTAGGGATACGTCACATAATAGTCTAATGAAAATGGTTTCTAAAAGTGCATTATGCAGTGCAGTCAAGTCTCCCTCCAAATGGCCAACATTCCTGAAGCGCGCCTCACATGCAAATTCTGCTCTTGCAAAAGACAAGGGTGGTGCGACTTTAGAAGAATGCACCCACAGCCTGCGTTAAAGCAACAGATATCAGAGCTGATGTTTCAATTACAATCACAAGTCAAAGAATCCTGATAGTAACAGTGAAAAAGACAATTTTCTGAAGGCTAAGGAAATCACTTCGGAGAAAACCACTTCCTGCTTTTGATGCATGCATCATTGGGGTGGTGGGGTGTAGTGCTGGGGAGTCGGGGAAAGGGTGGGAGTCAGAAGATTTGGTTTATTTTGCTTTTGGTGAAAAGGCTGAACAACAACAAAATCACAGATATCAAAGACTTGGAGAGAGTGGATTTCAAGCACACTACAAACCAGGAAAGGATGACACCCACTTGGTTCTATGGAGAAAATCCACACTGCGAAATCGGGGCTATCTCTGTCAGTTTGCTCCAGAATGACCTGCCCGAGGGAGAACCTTGGCAGCTGAGGACTGGAGTGGCTGCCATCGCTCAAACCTGGTTGAAGCCACACACCTTCCTCCCCCAATGCAGCTAGAAGGTTCTGGGGCCTCCCTTCTCCCATCCCAAATGGCCATCTTTGCTTGTTCCAAGGTCAGGGCTGGCAACTGCTCCAGCCGTTTGTTAACCCTCTAAGCCCTTTCCGACAAACTCACTTTCTAGAGCAATTGGCTCTCAGCTCTGCTGCACCACAGGAGACCTCTCAAAAAGTTGAGGGGAAATGAAACTCAATGCACACAGGGCCTGGAATCACAGTCATTATTCTCAGAAGGCCAAGCCATTTGCACTCAAGGGAAATCCAGGCGCCCTGGCACTGCTGAGAAAGACGGGGCAGCTCCAGGCTAGCACAGAGGGAATCCCAAAGGAGATGAGCTGCGGGGAGCTGTGGGCTGAGTGGGGAAGGGAGCCTCAGTGTGAGCTGCCAGCCCCCAGCATGCTGTCTGGCCCAATGAAGGCCGGTTCTCGCACTTTCTTCCAGAGCACGTGCATTCTTCTCCCATCTTGGATGTCAGGACTCCCTCCAGCAGCCCCAGAAGGCTCTAAGCCTTTGGTGTCAGACTGAGGGTACCAGCTCCGACCTCCAGTCTCCTGAGGCAGGGGCAAGCAGATGGAGACACTGCACTGGTTGAGCAGCTCACAGACCATCCGGCTGAGACTCTGTGATCAAGCCAATGGATTCTCATAACTTCCAGCTTCTCCCTCTCTCCACACACACACACACACACACACACACACACACACACACACCCCACCACCACCACCCTCCAGTCTCTCACACTTACAGAACATATTCCCCATACATCATACACCCCACATAACATACACACACATCCCTCACACTACACATACCCACAAACCCCCCCCATTAAACACACAGCACACATACAACACACTGAAACAACTCCCACCCTGTTCACACTATTCACACGGCGCCGGGGGGGGGGGGGGGGGGGGGGGGGGGGGGGGGGGGGGGGGGGGGGGGGCCGCCGCCCCCACGGACCAAAGGCGGGGGTAAGAGGGGGGGGGGGGGGGGGGGGGGGGGGGGGGGGGGGGGTGGGGGCCCCAAAGGATAACCTCCTAGAGATATATACACCGGACGACCCACAGAAGAGACAACTAGACACTAGAGAAGCCTATATCTCTCTACATCATTGTTTTTTTTTTTTTTGTTCCACCCGGGATTATGCCCTGCTCATACGTATTTGTACATTTGTGTACGATGGGTTATCCGCACTCCACTCATGTGTTCTTAGGCATAGGGGGACCCATCGCCAGAGTTTTACATACGGATACAATATGTGGACGATCAGCGCATGGGCGACAGTACACCATAGAATTCAGATTGGGAACATGTATACATCATTCTTATGTATTCTTATACGCATACATGTATAATGTCCTGGCTCTTCATGGCGCCCACAATCAGCCCAGATATATATGTACACGAGATATGAAAAAATCTCCTATCACAGTGTGTCACCATGCATATTAGGAGGAATCTATCACAAAGTTGGTGGTTTAGGATACTTGTTATGGGTGTCTTGGATTTATGAAAAACAAGGTGAGTGGATTTCTAAAATGTTATAGGCCAAAATAAACTTACCTTTTCGTTCCATTACTCCATGGACCTTTGTGCACCCTCATACATGTAAACACGTGTCAGCCTACATGCAGGTGCAAGTATACATCATGTTAGCTCTGTCTAGAGAACCTCAAAACAGCCCACATTCTCTTCCGTTCTCCCTGCCGAGTGACAAGCAGCGTGGAGGCTCTTCATCTTCACCCTCCCTTCCTCACACCCTCTCAGCCATTTCAACCAGCACCTGCCCCTCTACACTGCCCCAGTGATGCCCTCACGCAATCCCACACTTCAAACCAGAAGAAAATCCTGCACCATGATCTCACACGCCATCTCCAGCAGCCCCTAGCACAGGGGAGCACCCAAAGCATGCCTTCTGATGGCCTCAACACGGAGTGAGCAGGTTAGCTCCAAGGCCTTCTGACGTCTCTACACTGCCTGACGGATCTGCCCAACTCTGACTTAAATTCTGTCAATGTTTCCCATATGCATGTCTCCTGCAGACACCACTCCCTGTCAACAGATCTTATCTTCAGATGCCTGCCTGACATGGCAACGGGGGCTGCAGCCCTAAGCCCACAAAGCACCCTTTTTAACAGGGGCTACGGAGAGCCCTCCAACGTCTCCACTAAGTGGGCCTAACCCCACCTCATGAGGGAGTCTCCGACTCAGTGTCCTAACTCATTATTCCACTTCTCTCGCCTGCTCATACACGCAAACCTAACTTCAGGTTCCTTCCACTTAACCTTGAAGAGACTTGCAAAGTCACCTAGCTCGCTCCCACTGAATTGCCCATGCACTGCTCCAAGTCACCAGCAACCCCCAAGCCTGTTGCAGGTGCCTCTTATCGGAGCTCCCATCTCCACATCACATGCTTCCCCCTCCCCAGCCACACACATTTCTCTGCATCCAGCGCTGGTTTCCTGTTGCACTTAGAATCAAGTTAAAACACCTCCCACCAGTCAAAAAGGACTTGCGTCTGCTTCCCTTGGCCACCCCCACATTTAGCTTCACCCTGATCTTATCTCAATTCCTCCTCTGAGCAGACTCTCCCCACCCTTCTTACCACCTCTGAACAGTACATCCAGTGCACACCCCAGACTCCACCTCTGCAGAGCCTCCCAGCCGCCCCATCTGGAAGGGGCCTCCTCGTGCTGTTCTCCATCTCAACCTCTCTTTTGCTTTCTCCACAGCACTGCCATTACCTCTAATACTCCTCTACTGCTTCCCACGTTCACCACCACCTGAGTACACTGCAAACGGGGCCCAACGGCAATTCTGCTCTTCAAACTACCCCAACGCACAGCACAAAGTGTGGTACACAAAAGAATCCAAACTATTCCATGGGAAAGGAGAAAAAGAAGTGCTCAGCCGAATGTTTGGTAAACTTGCACCCAAATAATATATACATACATACATACATAAACAAAATTTTTAAGGAAGTTTTAAAAACATGCACTAAGGCTCGTGCTATGGCAAAAAGGCTAAGTGCCCCCAGCATCTCATGGGGCACCAGCTCAAGTCTCAGCCGCTCCCCTTTCTATCCAGCACCCTGTGTATGTTCCAGGGAAAGCAGCAGCAGATGGACCAAATGCTTGGGTCCCTGCACCAATGCAGGAGACCTAGGGAAAGCTCCAGGCTCCTGGCTCTGGACCAGCTCAAGTTTGGCCACTGGAGGCCATTTGGAGAGTGACCCAGCACTGGAAGACACCTGGATTACTGGGGGAATGACAGCTGGCTCTCAGGAGCAGGGTCAAGGGTACAGCTCCTTTCTCGGGCTAAGAGGACAGACTCTGTGCAGTCCATCCAAAGGGTCCAACTTTACTCCATCAACACCCATGGTTTCCACCCAATGTGCTCTGAGGGAGAATAGGAACAGAACCCCATGATGATTTGAGGTATCTGCGAGTGTGGCACTGAGACAGCCTGCACTCAGCCCAATCGAGTTCCAGGATAAGAGCGTGTAGAGAAGTAATATTACCACATCCATAATCAGCTATTGACAGCACTCCAAAGAAATATCTCACCTAATGTGTATATGTCAGACACTCCAGACCCAGTTTTTATTTATGCCTTTGCCTTTCAAACCCAAGAAGAGATTAGGCCTATCACTACATCACACCCAGATCTTGCTGGGAGCTGATTCTGCAACTGACCATGCCCTGTCTGTAAAGCAACAGTGAGCAACACCCAGAGGGTGACACCTCACACCCTTGCAAGCTGTGCAGGGGCACGTCTGGCCTGCTGAGGATCTACAGCTATCTTGGAATAGAAGAGTAAAGAAGGGGCAGTCTGCCTTTATGGTTACAAACAATTTGCAACAAAGAAACAACAATCTTAGGCCCATGGCAGTGGTATACATGCTAATCTTCTGTCTGAGATGCTGGCATCCCACAGGGATAAGAGTTTGTATCCTGGCTACTTCACTATGATCCAGCTCCTTGTTTGTGGCCTTGGAAAGCAGCACAAGATGGCCCAAGTGCACAGGCCTCTGAATCCATTTGGGAGACTCAGAAGAAGCTCCTGGGTCCTGGCTTTGGATCAGCTCAGCTCTGACCATTGTGGCCATTTGGGGAGTGAATCAGTGGAAAGAAGGTGTATCGCTACTTCCTGTAACTCTGCCTTTCAAATAAAGAGAAAGAAATCTTTTTAAAAAAAAATAATTAATGTCTCCATCATGGACAGAGTTCTGTAGCCTGCAAATAAAGAAGGTTCAAGACCATCTTGGAGCCCGAGTGGGCAAGTGGCATGAAAGGCAAGTGCAGTTTGCCTTGATTAGCGCAGTGGAAGCAGACACGGAAAGGACAGAAGAGATGGACTAAGGCTGACTGGCATGGAAGAGGAACAGGTGCTCAGCTTGACTGTGGTAACCAGAAGGGTGATGGTGAAGAGGAGCAGGTACAAGCGTCACATCCCGGAACAGTTACCTACTTGAGTGCTGGTGCTGACCAACACACAGGCTCTGGACAGCAAAGAGCAGTCAGAGCCTGGGAGGCCGGAGCACATATGAATTCCAGCAACAGCAACAAATGGGATTACCTCAAGAGCATGCCCAGATCCGTGTGTGTGTGTGTGTGTGTGTGTGTGTGTGTGTGTGTGTTTATCATTTTAAATGGTTTGCCAGGAGGTTCTCGTGTTCCCAGTTGGGAACCACTGTATTAAAGCTCAATACAGCAAGTGAGATTTGCTAAGAGACGGAGTGTGTTTCTCCAGCAGGGGTGTTTTCATTTCTGCAGTCATCCCAGGAAGCCAGCCATTGCTAAACACATGCAGAAAGCCCTGGCTGTACAGGCAGACCTCGGGCACCTAACAGTACGGCTCTTTGGCCTGACACAATGCCACGCAGCCTGCAGGGATTCATTCCACCCTGTAAGATGCATCACACTGGGACTAGAAAGAGTGTCAACCAGGGCTGTGGTTATCTCTTCCTCTCCATCAACAAGCCACAGACCACAGGAATAAATGACCTTCCAATGGGACTTTCCAGGCCCGCTGTGTCTCCTGCCTGAATTCCTTCCTTGTCTTTGTGTGGTCACTTGTCTGTTCAAGGAGATGCAAACACTAGCCAAGTGAGCACAAAGATAATGAATTACATCACAACTTACCAAACCTCAAAAGCAAGACACGCTTCATGCTGGCAACTCACTGGACATGACACTATGGAGATACCTGGATGCAGACACATGACAAGAGTGCCAAACAACTAGAGGAGAAGAGGTAAAACCCTAAGTGCACCATTCCTCACCCTGGCAGGGTACCCCCAGGAACTCTGGTTCTGCCTGTGCAATCACTCAGCAGCCACCAGCACCACAGAACCCCTGCCTGGCTTGGCACCAAGGCACCACCCTCCTCTAAGCACATTGTCAGAGTCTGGGTGCTAGAGCTTCCTGCAGGCTTCAGGAAACAGCTCCATTTCCACCCCCAGATTAGAACCATGCAGCCCCTAATCTGAGCCAGCCCCATCAGGCTGCATAAAGTGACCACCTGTTGAAGCCACATCCCAAGCAACAAGCCATTGCACAAGATGAAATCCTGAAAAACAGATCTGCTTTTAACAACTATTAGTAGGAGAGGGTTTTTAGGTAGAATGAAGTGTTTGGATTATAAAATATGTTAATAAAATGCAATCTTATTACTCATGAATCCATGCAGCAATTACAACTAGACAGCATTAAGCAAATGAACTGTTCACTACTGGAATTCTTTCAGTACAGTACTTCCCAAACTGTTCTACAGAACACTACTTTCGGTTATTTTTTGGGGAATGAGGTAAATGTTTTTCAATCATATTGATTTAAATTCTAAAATATATATGTTTGCATTCTTATATGTAACACAGGGCGACCCACCAAAGAAGCTGTATAAGAAATCCTCAGGGCCTCAGAGTCATGTTGTTCTGTCAATTACACATCATCCAGTTACACCCCAAAACTCCCTGCCCCTGGAGGAACAGCATAAATTCTATCTGAGGATCTGCTGACAAAAGTGGAGTCAATACATTCAATTTCAAAATAAAGATCATTAGTAGTGGAAAGAGCCAATCAGCCTCAACGATGTTTAACTATGAACATCAATGCAACCGACATGACTGAGGTCACGTTTCATAACCAGTTTTGGGGAGCCCCTGAAGACAGTGCTGTCCCCCACCCCCGCAAACTAAGTATCACACCATCAGTCATCAAAAAAGTGAGACAAGGACACAGATATCCTGTTCGCAAATTTGATTTTTTAGAAAAACAATGGTTGGTTGGGTCTTTTCCCTAGAATTCACATGAAACTATTGTGTACCACAGATGCAGTCGTCACAAGTGTTCAAGAGGCTGCTAGGATTCAAAGACAGTTCCTACTTGTTCAGTTGTAGAGTTGGCTCCAAGCAACCTGAGGCGCTGCTTCTCACCACACACAACATGCATTTCAGTTGTATTCTCAGGCACCTGTCTGGCCTTGAGAGCAACCAGGAGCGTAGAAACCAGACCTCTATTTGGAGTATTGCCTTTTGATCCCTACTGAATCAATCTTTCTTGCTATCTTTCTCCACCCTCTCCCTCTTCCCATTGCCCTACTCCAACTTTATACACAAAAGCACAGAGAATCAACTACTTTTTCTCTTACAACCTAGAAAAAATAATTTAGTCCCACAATGTGCACCAAAAATGTAAAGGGTCTTTTTACATCTCTACTGAAATGCTTCTTCAAAACTCTCCCTTATGATAATCTTATCTTTTCTTAGGGATGACTGCTCTGTGAGCCAGTTTCTGACAATTTGAATACAAGCTGGTTTATTTCATTAACATCTGCTACACCATCTTCATGGAAGAAGCAGAACTCTTGGCTATAAGAAAGGAACTTCCTTTCTATTTTTTAAGTAAGATCAGGACTGGGGGACTGAATTCACTCTGTCTCCGTTCTGCTGATGACCATATCCGGTTGGTAGCCTGTCCTGTCCTGCCCTGCCCTGCCCTGCCCTGCCCTGCCCTGCCCCGCCCTGCCTTGCCCCACTCCACCCCATCCCCTTCCAAGTCCCTCACTCCAGACCATTAAGTGAAAATGTGAATTCCCAAAGCAGCTTGCTCCATGCACCACTCCCTTCTGCAGACGATACAACCAGTCTCCAACCTCCAGCTCCCCAAAGGACAAAGGTGGGAAGAAGCTTTTGACTTAAGCCCCCTAGCATTACCCTGGATTAAATCCGCTATAGAGCTCCTTCCAAAATGTCTCGACTGCAGCCAATTCATTGCCTTCTGTCTGCCTTGCTTCAAACAGATTCCCAGCTGCCTTCCTGCTTCTGAGTCTTCCTACACACTCCACC